AACCCTTACCTTTATGTGAATCGGCTTGCTTTTATTTTATTTTTATTAATTTTTATTTGAATTTTTAGATCTTTTTCGTCGCGCTGTGATGACGTCAAAGGCGCGATTTTGTCGATCGCGCTTTTGCCGTCCGCGCTTTTGACGGGTCACGGTATTCTCAAGTGACTGGGTGGAGCTTGCTTAAACTTGGAACCAAATTGGACATGAAGTGCTAGCTATTAGGAGGAGTTAACCCCTCATTCATGTTCCATACTACTACTCCTTCGTGTTCCACACTACTCTAGCCCACTCCCCTTACCCCCAAATTAAGCACAATGTGGAAACAAGGTCAATGACCAATGGGTGTTGTTGCCTCCATCTGGATCCCCTTAGTCTGACACATAATCCTCTTCTTTTAAAAAAAAAATATACTTTTTTATTTTCCATTTTCATAACATATATTCACATGCATACTATTACATAGCCAGTATCATATTGTTTTAATTCTTGCTTTCAACAAAAAAAACCCACCAATTATTGGCTCTTCTGCTCTCCATACACCACTTTCTTCTGCCTCTCTCCTCCCCCTCCCTCTACTCCTTTCTTCCCTCCCTTTCTTCTGACACTGGGAAACTGAGCATTAGGCAGCAGTTCCTAACCTTGGATTTTATGTGGGTTTAAGCTATGTCTCCAACATAACAAGCCAGAATGTCTAATGGCCAGTTGTAAGAGATGATTGGACTTCTAGCCATATTACACTGATAGTTTACCTTTTTGGTGCCGAGTGCACAAAGTGCGTGTGCGCGCAACCCCAAAATGCAGTGTGAGTGTCCCCCTGAGCATCCGTCCCACCCCCTTGCATGCATGCGCGATCCCTGGGCATGCGCTCTGCCCCCTGGAAGGCCTCCTGCACCAACTTGGGAGCCAAAACAGGGTGCGGGGGAGCCACATGAGGCCCCAAAATGTGATGCGAGTGTCCCCATGCATGTGCCACACCCATCCGTGCATTGTGCATGCATCTCCTACATGTGCCCCGTCCCCCACGCATGTGCAGCAGAGTCCCAAAGACCAGCTGGCTGGCAGAAGGCACACACGCATGCACGGTGCAGCTGGGCTGGGGCAACAGCTGCACAGAGGGCTCTGCATGCCACCTGTGGCACGTGTGTCATAGGTTCACCATCACGGCCCTATAACATCAATGGACATAAGGCTGAGAACCACTGCATCACAACACGAATGGCCCATATTTGCCCCTTGTCTTTCTTTTCTGCAGAGCTCAGAGGCAGGAATTAATATTCCTGTATCGCATCCTGCTTGATGCTGTAGGCAAGCAACAAATGTGCACGTGTCCATTTATCCTGAAAGAGCTCTCCTCTTTTCTAATGAATGCTGGATCCAGAAACATGTGTGAACTCTCCTTTGCACTTTTTTTTACCACTACCCAGAAGCCCCACAGAGGGATTTTTTCCTGCTCTTATTTCCTATTTCAAAGATTCAAAGAAAATTTACCTTCTCCAGTTTCACCCAGTAATCAGTGCAGCCTTCCTGCCCTCGCAGACTGGGAGGAACATACCAAAAACAGAGATTGATGAACTCTGGCTGAAAAAGTTTTAAAAAAAAAAAAGAGTAAGAAACCCTAAAAGAGAAGCATTTGAAATTATATTTTTTCCCTCTAACCTTTGTGCAGTAGGAAGCCACTTTCTTACGGCAGTGATACATGGTCAGTAAAGAAACTGGAATACAGAACCATAAAATGGTTTACCGGTATTTGGTTTTAATCTATCATGATGTATAAACCCAATCATTGTAATGATTGCAATTCATCGTTCATGTCACCTATAAGCAACTTACGATCTCCCTGTGAATACACTAAGGGGCTTCTCAAGGCTTCTCAAGATTGCATTACTACAAGTCTGTGGCAAACTGTCAAATTATATGGCTTAACTTTCTGCACTGTTTTAGCAAGAACAATAAAATGGATACATTAGTCATCCAAAAGGCTAAAAATAATAGTTCCAATTTTTTAAACAATACGTCAATCCCCCACAAAAATGAAATCAAAATTCCTGCCTCCACCCCTTCAGGTGATACCACTACATTAAAGGTAAAGGTTCCCCTTGCACATGTGTGCTAGTCGTTTCTAACTCTAGGGGCGGTGCTCATCTCCTTTCAAAGCCCAAGAGACAGCACTGTCCGAAGATGTCTCCATGGTCTTGTGGCCGGCATGACTAAACGCTGAAGGTGCATGGAACGCTGTTACCTTCCCACCAAAGGTGGTTTCTATTTTTCTCTTGCATTGTTTACATGCTTTCGAACTGCTAGGTTGGCAGAACCAGGGCAAGTAACAGGAGCTCACTCCAACCGAACTGGACTGCTGACCTTTCTGATCAAGAAGCTCAGGGTCTTAGCCACTGAGCCACTACGTACCCTACCACTACATTATTGCCCTTTATATATATATATATATATAAAGGGCAATAATGTAGTGGTAGGGTATATATATATGACACCCAAGGCAACCCAAAATGCAATTTCCACTTTCTGGATTGAGATCCAACCTGTTGTAGTGCTTAAGGCATCAGGCTAGAAACTGTTGAATCATTCCAAGAAACTGCAGGGACTTATCCAGGCAGGAGTCAACAATGACTTGAAAACACGCCCGCGCGCATACATGCACTCACATAATCTGGATTAGCAATATGTGAGAACATGTTTCAAAAACCCAAAAAAGAAAACTGCTGACTTAATGGACAGTTAGAACTGAAGTGTCAGATCATGAATTGCTAGGAACCATTCAGACCATTGGTCCCCAACCTTTTCAGCTCTGCAGATCTGCAGACAACAGCAATGGCAGTGGTGGGGGGATAGTTTTACAGGCATGCACATCTGTTGCACGAATAGAGCTTCGCTCACTCGCCTGTTGCTTGGGAACCATTCAATCAAAACCTCCTTCAGTTCACGAATCCAAATTAAAGCATTTGTGACTGATGGCTATCCAGCTTCAGTTTTTCAGCACATCCAGAACCTATCTCTTCCCTTGTTAATCTGAGCACAAGGCTGGGTCTTATGCTTGAGAACAGCCCAATATTTATTAAGGCAGAAATACTACTTTGGACATGATAAAGTGCCCCTTTTTCCTAGCAGTTTCACCAGTTTAGAAAGCGGGAGTTTGTGAGTTCTAGTTCCGCCATAGCCATGAACGCCAGTTGAATGACTTTGGGCCAGTCACTCATTCTCAGCCCAACCCTCTCCACAGGATTGTTGCTATGGGGAGAATAGGAAGAGGAAGGTTTGTTGGATACATTCACTGCCTTGAGTTATTTATAAAAATAATAAAGACAGGGTCCAAGTAAATAAATAATGTCATCTAATATACATGTCAGCATCAAAGCAAGTCCCGAAGGCCAGGTAGCTCTTACCTCTATCACTAGCTGAAAGCCTTCTCTCTTCTTAATTTCATCAGCTAGATACCTAGGATTGAAAAGAAGAAAATGCTAGGGAAGATGCTTGAACCACGTGCCAGTCACCAGGAATGGCAGAAGAACTTATCCCAAACTAGGGTCTTTTCATAATACCTAGTGTAAGCAAAGGCCCTATCCACTCTCTGCTCCAAGCCTTTGCTGCCGTTGGCCTTCCACATCAACCACAACTTAAAGCAATCCACTTTGCGTCCACACTGGATGGTTTGGTCTCCCCTGTCATAAGCTATGTTGTAGAACTTGTCCGTCTGGAAGAGGTAGGTAGCTTGGGCACAGTGGCATCTCTGTAATAGTCCCTAAAAAGGAAAAGGTATTAAAATAGTTATCTTTTTTTTAAAAAACCACCTTATTTTTCAAATAAAATGATTTATTCTACTTGACAATGCAGAATGCTCAAAGTGGGTAACACCAACATTTCAGAGAACTTCAGAAATGAACTGGAAAACGTGATCAGAATAGAGTGATCATACTAGACTCAGAAACCAGAGAGTTTAAAAGAGAGGTAGTTTGTAGTTTTATTAGAATTTGTAGGCCGCCCTTTTCCCTGAGGGGACTCAGGGCGGCTCACATAAAACTGGGAA